GGGGTTGGGGGTTCCTAACCTGCAGGTAGGGTGCAGGGTCTGGGTGGGAGGGAGGGTGCAGAAGTGGGGGGGGGCTGAGAGCTGCAGGAACAGATGGGGGCTGGGGTGCAGGCTCTAGCAGGGATCGAAGGAGGGCGGGGAATTGAGGCACTTATCTAAGGTGGCTTGCGGGGAAGCAGAGGAATCTCGACCCTGCCCTGTTCTTGCAGGCACCACCTCACGGGTCCCATTGGCCAGTATTCCTGCCAATGGCAGTCATGGGGGCGGAGCGTGTGAGCAAACGCTTCTCTGCACTATTGTGCTCTCGGCCCCACCAGGCAGAAGCAGCCATGCAGGGGCTTCCATGCCAGCTCCCAACTGCTTCCCTCCACTGCGGGAGAGGGGCAGCCCCAAGACTCACAGTCCAGATCAAGGGAAGGTGGGGGCTGGATCCAGCCCACAGACTTTAGCTTCCCCATCCCCCATCTAGAGGTTCCCTTCCATCCATCCAACACGGAACCTCTCAGGCCCCCACACAGTAACCTATGAAATTCACACCCCAACCCTGGGTGCCTCCCAAAGCCAGTGCCCCCCCCCGCCCCCTCTGCCACGCACAAGCCCACATAATGGAGGGAGAGAAGAAATGTTTTTACCGAAAGATAGGAAGTAACATCCCCAACGCCACGAGTAACAGCCCCACCCCACAGAGACTGGGCAGTGTCCTTCTCCTCTCCTATTCTTGCATCCAACACGGTAAATGTCCCTTCACAGGCACAACCCTTCTCTGCACCCCGGCACGTGCACTGCAGGGCAGACCCAGTGTCCAGAGGTAAAGCCGCAGGGTTCACCTGCCAACGTCTATTGCTCCCCTGAATGCTCCTCCTCCACCTGCTCTCTGCCACTGCTCTGCTGGCCATGCGCCGTGCCTCCACCACCGCCCTGTTGGCCACACGTCACGGATCTCTGCCACCGCCCTGCTGGCCACACGTCACGGCTCTCTGTCGCCGCCCTGCTGGCCATGCGCCGTGCCTCCACCACCGCCCTGCTGGCCACACGTCACGGCTCTCTGTCGCCGCCCTGCTGGCCATGCGCCGTGCCTCCACCACCGCCCTGTTGGCCACACGTCACGGATCTCTGCCACCGCCCTGCTGGCCACACGTCACGGCTCTCTGTCGCCGCCCTGCTGGCCATGCGCCGTGCCTCCACCACCGCCCTGTTGGCCACACGTCACGGATCTCTGCCACCGCCCTGCTGGCCACACGTCACGGCTCTCTGTCGCCGCCCTGCTGGCCATGCGCCGTGCCTCCGCTGCCGCTCAGCTCTGCTGGCCACTTGCTGTACCTCCATCACTGCACTGCTGACCAGGACTGTGTCTAGACTGGCCGCTTTTTTTCAGAAAAGCAACCAGTTTTCTGGAAAAACTGGCCAGCTGTCTACACTGGCTGCTTGAATTTCCACAAAAGCACTGACGATCTCACGTAAGATTGTCAGTATTTTTACGGAAATACTATGCTGCTCCCGTTCGGGCAAAAGTCCTTTTGCATAAAACTTTTGCGCAAAAGGGCCAGTGTAGACAGCTCAGATTTGTTTTCTGCAAAAAAGCTCTTATCGCGAAAATAGCGATCGGGGTTTTTTTTGCAGAAAAGCGCGTCTAGATTGGCACAGACGCTTTTCTGCAAAAAGTGCTTTTGTGGAAAAGCGTCTGTGCCAATCTAGATGCTCTGTTCCGAAATTGTAGACGTAGCCATGGAGTGGATTGCACAGAGAAAGACTCCGCTCCATGTGCTGACTATGGGACCCATTGAGCAAAGTAGGCGTCCACTGTATTTGCATAGCCACGCCCAGGGTCTCTCTGCCCTCCGCATGCTGGGAGGGAAGCTATTCTTCAGCTCCTGCTTCCTTGTACAAGGGTTCCTGTGGGTCTCAGGGCTGGAAGTTACCTTGTTCCCCGCTGAATCGGGGCAGTGGGACTCTGCTCTCATGTGAGGCAGCCGAGTGTTCACCGTGCATGGAAACGATAGGGATGAACAAGTCTCTGAGACCCCATGAAACGGTGCCCTAAGCAATCCAGGCCCTGACTCTGGCTGCTCGCCACTAACTCCAGGTTCCTGCCCCAAAACAAGGATCCAATTTTGTGGGTCACCATCAGCCACCTCTCCAGCACAGCGCAAGGCCCTGGGGAGCCCTGGGCACAACACAAATGCTGCTTCCTTTGGGAGGAATGGAGAGTTCCCTAGAAATGTGAGAGAGGGGAACCAAACTGCTACAACTAATACGCATGGAACAGGAACTCGGACCAAGCTAGTCAAATAGGTTCCTCCCCTTTCTCTCTCTCTCTCTCTCTCTCTCTCTCAGTCTGTGGCAGAGCGGGAGGATTCTCCATTCGCAATGCAGAATGCATTTTGTCATGAACACATCGCCAGACCCCGAGGTGTCCCCTCAGTGAAAGGCTCCACAGGCCCCTCCCCGCCCTGTGGGGAGTGAGGAACATTCTGGATTTTGTTTGTAGGCAGGGCAAGCCCCTCTGTTGAGAGGTTCCTTCATTGACCTCCATGTGGGGTCAACGCCTTGCACTTGTCTGAGGATTTTCCATTGATGAGCTAGGATGGAGCCAGGCCGGCCAATAGCTCCCAGCGTTACATCCCCGGCTAACCAGGGTGGGTGGGAACGCTCTTCTGAAGTGGCCAACACCACCACCCACTGTCCAGCTGACTGAGGCTACATTTACACTGCAGGCTTCTTGCGCAACAGAGCGTCCACACTGCACGGACGCTCTCTCGTAAGAAAGCCCTAATTGCCATTCACAGAATGGCCACCGGGGCATGCAGAGAGAATGGCAGAGTGGGACAGACAAATCAATCAAGGCCGGGAAAAAGCTGCCAGATTTGAACTTCAACCCAAAAGAATTGAAGCACAGAAGGAACTGTGTCCTCCTGAAAGTTCCGTGTATGACTGTGTGGGCATGTGGGGTAATGTTGTAACCTAGCCCCGAAGCATTTGTGAGGGGGGTACAGGTAACTCTGGGAAGCTTTCTGGGGCTAGTCAATCTTATTGTAACTGAAAGAAAAGTGTCTCTAAGGGTGTGTTTAGACTACAGGGTTTTGTCGACAAAGGTGGACTTTTTGTTGACAAAACTATACCTGCGCCCACACTACCACTGAGTTCTGTCGACATAACGTCGACAGAACTCAGCAGTTTTGTTGACGCTGGTAAAC